ACAATCTGGGTTTTATAGCCCAGGCAGAGGCCAGAGGAGCAGGCAAAGCTCTGGGATCCATCCTCTGCTGCTGGTTAAGGGCTTTCAAGGAAACAAGGAACCTGGGGGGAGGACAGGGAGTGTAAAACATGTGGACATCTGGTGTGTTCTGTGTGTTCTGCCCACCCCTCATCTCCCCAGGCTCAGCCCCCTCCCCTGTGCACGCCCAGAGCAGAGAGAGGAGACTGCTCCATCAACAACCAGAACATGGCAATAAAGATTAATGAGCAAAACTTGCCATTTTATGTCTAATCCGTGGGGATTTACCATCATTAATCTTTATTAGTGTGGAATAACTGTTTAGACACTAAGGACAGATTCTCAGCTGGACAAAACTGGCCTTATTCCAGCCAAGCCAATGGAGCAGTGCCAGTTTACACCCTCCATGACCCCAGCTCTACATGAGACCCATCCCATCTGTAGGAATCACATCACTGACAGTATTTCCCCAACAGCAGGGGCACAGAAGTGAAGGCAACTATTTGTCTTTCCCTGTATCCCAAAAAAGAGAGCTGCATGTGTCCAGGAAGCTCAACAATAGACATGTCAATAAACACGAGGAAATTCAATGAAAAAGCAACAGCAACAAAAGGAACCCCAAGGAGCAGGGAAGTGGATGGTTTCAGAGGCAAGACTATAAGATCTGGTTTGGCAGGAGTGTAACTAAGAGGGATCTTTGGCATGTGAAAGAGTGAAAGCACCAAGACAGGCTCCCAGAGTTCCTCTAACAGGAACAAGATGGAAGGGGGAAAAAAAAAAAAGAAGGAGCATCTTGGCTGGCTTTTCTGAGAGAGGAGTTTGGGGTTGTTTTGAATAAAGAAGATTTCTTAAACACAGGAGCTGGTGGGAACCTTGTCTGAACTACACCAGACCAGCCACTGAAGCAATGGTGAGCTGGCCAAGCAGGATTTCCTCTTCCAGAACATGCAGGGAAGAAGGGAAATGTGCAGGTACACACCTGGCTGGCAGCAAGCATGGAGAAATCCCAGCTGAGCCTCTGCCCTCAGCCCCTGGCAGCTCCTTCCCACCAGGAGCAGCACCTGCTCGACAACAGGGAGATGAATTGGGATTTTTTAAAGATTTTTCCAAGTAGGGACCCACCAACTGCCTCCTGCATCACACACCTGCCTCTAGAAATGAAGTTCCACCTCTTTAACAAGTCGGAGTTGCCTCTTCGTCAGCAGTAAACTCAACAAAAGTCAGGGAAAAACACAGAAATACAGTACAGAGATATCTGTGTCAAGGTTTGTACACCTGGAAGAACTCCAGGAGAGATGGGCATTGCACCCAGTGCAGCAGCATGAACCTGGTGTTCAAAAACAGTAACCAGAAAATGCCCTCCAACTCCTCTCTCAGACTGAAGGGTCCAAAGGGCTCTTGGGGACCCAGAAAACACCTTCCCTGCCAGTGACACCTCAGAGCTCCAGCAAGGGCAAGGCCTCCAGCATCCTGGGGATTGCAGGAGCACCAGGAGCTGGGCTGGGGAGGAAGAAGAGGATGGACATCACAGCTGGGATCCCTGGGGATGGGCTGTGCCTCCTGACGAGCTGTGGCAGACTGGAGGAGCCCTCCCTGCCCTGCAAACCCATCCACAGCTCAGAGCTCAGTGGGAGCTCCCAGCAGCTTTGCTGTCTCTCTGCTCCCTGACTTTGGCGTTTATGGCATTGGAGACCTGCTTCTCTAAAAATCCCAAGCCCTGCGCTGTGTGAACACACAAAATCCTTGTGAAGAACATCCCTAAGCCTCAACACCTGGGCTGTTCAGGTGGCCAGGCTGTCAGGAAAGGTTTCAGAGCCTGTGTCTGTCCCTGTGCTCGTGTTCTGGCCAAGCAAAGATGTAAGAAAAGCAACCAAAGCTTCTCATCTTCACAGAGGTCACAATTAAACAGCAGAGAGAAGAGCCTGACCCTCCTCCTGCAGCCCAGCAGGGCTCTGAGGCACACAGGAGTCTCTGGCTCTCCTCCCTGAGCTGAAGCCGCCCAGCTCTGGCTTCTCTCTAAGAAATTCCGGGTCAAGCCAAGCTTTGTGGCCACCACGAGGGACACAGGGACCTGTGCTGCCACAGCTCCATCAGCACTGGGCACCTCTCACAGCACTTCCCACCCTCAGACAGCTCCACACTTACTCTGGGCTGACACAAACGACTTTAAAAGGAACAAAGTCATGGAGAAGGAGCAGGGAAGGGAAGTGATTTGTTGCGTGCCCTATTGTAATGTCATTAAGACAAAGGGATTCGAGCAGAAAGCACAAAAGCAAGCCCTGTGTGGAAGCACAGAGGAATCCTTTTAGAGGGTTACAAGCTGCAGACAACACTGCCATTAATTCTCTATTGGAAAACGCTGGTGACATTAATATCTGCTATTAATACTGAGCTTTGACAGTATCTCATAAATTCAACCTGTCAATTACCATGGCACTGAAATGAAGGTGCTCTGAGGTCAAGGAGATGCGGTGTCCAAATGAGACTTATATTGCAGGGGAAAAGCAGCAAAAACAATCTTTAACAAAAGCATCAGATCCATATGTAGGAAAACCAAAGGGTGGTTTTAAATGTCATGTTTTTCAAAGTGAGAATTGATGCTGGAACCGAGTCTATAAACTGGCTGGCTGGACTTTCAGCTGCAGCTGAGGACAATCAATCAAAACAGTTCAGTGACTCTGAGAAAGTGAGAGAGAGAAAACACACACACACACACACCATGGAATATGAGAGGGCAGATCATGAGCCATGCGAGGCCGCCTCTTAAAATTACACTGTGAAGTAAAACATCCTCGTGTTTCATCCACCACAAAATGTAACCTGAAAGGTTCCCCCCGGCACAGAGCAGGGGATGGAGCTGATCCTTCCCCAAGGGCTGGGCACGCTCCTGGGGCAGGGCTGAGCAAGGGGAGCCTCCTCCTCCTCCCCAAAGCTGCACGAGCTGTGAATCACCCCCCGATTCCTGATTCCCTCTGTGAGCCCCCTGCTCTGCGGCCGAGGCCACGGGGGTTGATAAATCCTGATAAATGCTCCCCTGTCTCTGTCACTGCCAGCCCCAGGGCAGGGCTGCACCACCCCAGGCTCTCGGCCAGCCCTGTGGTGGCAGTGGCAGTGGCAGCCCAGGCACTGGTGGTGGCTTTGTGCGCCTCTTTGAGGTGTTTGGCATGTCCCCAGCACCCCACACCCTGCTCTGAACACTGCCCTCCCCATCAGCCCTTCCAGGGATCGCTTCCCAAAATCCACTCAGACTGTGCCAACCTGCACCAGCAGAGTCTGGAGCTGCTAACCTGGCAGAGCAGGGGGCAGTGACATCCTGCACAGGTTGTGACATCCTGCACAGGTTGTGACATCTGCACAGTTTCAGCATTGCAGAACAGGGTTCAGTGACATCCTGCACAGGTTGTGACATCCTGCACAGGTTCAGTGACATCCTGCACAGGTTGTGACATTTTCAGAGGTTCAGTGACATCCTGCACAGGTTGTGACATCCTGCACAGGTTGTGACATCCTGCACAGGTTCAGCACTGCAGAACAGGGTTCAATGACATCCTACACAGTTTCAATGACATCCTGCACAGATTGTGACATCCTTCACAGGTTGTGACATCTGCAGAAGTTCAGTGACATCCTGCACAGGTTGTGACATCCTGCACAGGTTC